AGAGCACTAATATTTGTGTGCAGTAATACAGAATTCAGTTGACTTGTGTGCTCATAAGTATGTGTACATCCAGAATTTACCTCATCCAATCACACTCGTAACAGCAAGAATATATTTTATAACTGATACTGTGATGGGTCATGTCCTTGATTTTTGTTTTTGATACCAGTACTGAGACCTTGAGTATGAGGTGATACGAATATGGTATTTTTTCTTTAAAATGTTTTAGAATAAACAACTTTTAATTAAAACTGTTTGCTTAAGGTGACCACCTCAAAAGTACTCGAACTGTTCAAACGCTCTACAGGAAGGAATACACAGCCAACAACATGACTTAGCCTGTGTTCACATTAAGTGCTTTTTCCTCAATCTTTTTACCCTGTTAGTTCATGCCCCTGGTCATAATAAGCTCAATTCATCATACGGTGTTTAAAAGACAAAAAGCTTGTTTTCTCGTATTTTTACACTGAAGCGTAATGACTTTTTCCCATCTCTAAAATGTCTTCTGATTTTTGATTATGTCACCGTGCTCTAGCTGATGGGGGAAAAATAATATTAAACAATATTATCATGCTTCGCATCCGCCTGCCACCACCTCCATCTATCACAACAGAAAACGCTCAAAGACTCTCCCTGATACACTGTCTTACCTGGAAACATATCACCAGATGGAAAATTCGCTATGATTTCAGATTCACGTTGTTGTTAAAAAACTTTTTTTCATCACAGCACAATACTTTTAAAAGCTGAAAATAATTCCTTGTCATAATGTGAAATTGATTTAATCTTTACTATTATAAATAACATATCTAATCTAGATAGCTAGCTGCTATACAGGCAGAACTCAGCTAATATTGCTGTTACTGTGTTCACATTGTGTAAGCTGCTTGTTTTTTTTCATATCAATGCAAAAAATGCTCCAGGCAGCAATTTTCCAAAAAAAGAAGCCCAGCTTAACACAAAACTACGACATTTTATATTCAGTTAAACTGTTTTAATAAAAAAAAATAAATAAAAAAATCACTTGTGCAAAAGTATGCACAACTACAACTTAAAGCACATTGTAAAAGCATGTCAAATTTAAAAAAAGAAGGAATTGCAATGTTGGATGCACTGATATGGAAATTGTTGTCTCACAGCTTTTGAAGGCCCCATAATAAACCAGTGTCTTAACAGTAAAAGTGAATAAAACATTATGTGTACATATTATTTATTACCATTTGTTACCTTTTCCTGATCCTGAACCGTACACGAGGGATCAGATGAACTTTCTTTACTTCTAACGGTTCCGGGACTAGATCTAGCTGCTGTACGGTAATATCCAGTCACTTTAGCTAGGTTGTTTTTCTGCAGTAAACAAGCTAAAGTTCCAAAGTACAACACTTATTTTTGGTTCCACACACTCAAGCTAAACTTAACGTGAAGCCATATATTACGTAAAGCAAGCATTACATTGCTCTGCAGAAAGCAAACTAACAGGCAACTTCTTAATAAATCTCTCTCGCTCTCTCTCACAAACAGAAAAACAAACTACTGGGGTGTGCATAGTTTTTAAAGGAACATGATCCTTAGTTTCCCAACATATTTACAAGCTTTTAAACGTAAATTAGGCCTGTCTAGCTCTCTTTCAGTCCTCTTTCCAACATGGCGGTTATCCCCTTTAACACCATTGCCACTGGGTTAATTGTCAACTATCAATGATATCACCCTACTGCCCAGGCCTACTGGCCATTCCTTTATGTCTACTGTCTTGGTGGACTGCTTCAGATGCAACGGACTAGACAGCAGGAGGTGATCGAGGGTCCTATGTAATCTCAATTTCATTTGAAACGTGCCATTTAACTAAATGTTAATGTTAGCATCGTTTACACTGTTTGTACGCTGCGATATCTGCACATATTTATGACATAGTGGTATAATGGTTTTATAAAACGCATATCAGAAGAAGCATTTTAACTGGTATACCAAATGAACCTGTATATTGCTCACTACTACAATAATGAGTAACAGTCTGGTGCAGTCTCTAATACAGATCAATCAATCTGATAGGCTTCCAGCTCCTTATCATCAGCCACTGCAGAGAGACTGAGATGCCCTTACGCACACATCCAGTCCATTATCTGTACACATTGACTTTCCATGCATACACACAAAAGCCACTTATTATCTAGGACCCATTCGCATTCTGGACATTGATTCCCAATGCACACATGCCACCACACATTCACACACCGACACGCACACACACACACACACAGAAAGACAAGGACATACAAAATCAGATATGTCTGAATGTTTCTATACATGCATTTATGCTTCTGGTATCAGCATGATCTGACTTTCTCTTCCTTTACTCTCCCTCTCTTCTGTTGCTACGACTCCCTCTCTCTCTTGCCATTTCAGCTTTTGTGAGCTAATTCGTTCCACGCTTCCAATTTGACCTGAAAATACATTGCGCCTCTAACCTCTATAAACGGCTCAGAATAGCAATCCTAAAAGGAGGCCCCAGTGTAACACGGCACAACACAATAAGTCTGCACGATACGCTTTGAATTTCTGCTGAAGCACAATGAAACAGAGGTAATGGAATCAAAGCTATAAATGGTGGCCTTTTTCACTGATGGAAAAAGGCTCTGGATTTGCAGCACTCTTATTGAGCTTCTTTTTTGTCCATTGCTTGCAAAATGTTTCTAGCAAAAAACAAGAAGAAAACACATGATCTTTTTGTCCAAAGAACAGAGCAAGATTTTAAAACTGTAGCAAGAGCTTTTTATTCTCTTTTATTCCTATTTATTTGCCAAATAATGACACATGAACTCCCTATTTTTGTCTAAAGTAAATCTAGTCTAATTTAACAGTAAAACCCCTAAGTATTTGGACTGTAACAGACTCTGCTGTTCTGGTTCTGCACTCCAGCTTATTGGATTTGAAATGACTGAGGTTAAAATGAAGAATGTTAATATCTTCGTTGGGTGAATTGTGCAGTTATATGAAAAAAATTGAACACCCATAGTCAAATTATAAGTTTTGTTGATTCTCTAAGGGCACAAACTTACATATGACATTTTTCTGCAAATTCTAATGCACTATTTTTTACTTAATTGTATAAACATATTGATAAACAAACAAACAAACAAACAAAAAGCATAACATTTAAAATGTGGCATAACCTTTGCACAGGCAACATATTTTTTTCCAATACAGGGTGATTCAAAAAGATTCATCCCATTTCAAAGCGCAATATTTTTACAACTGTGAGGGGCCTAGGAACCAATCACATACCAACTGAAGGAGAGGGTCATAGAGTTTCTGACTGTCACCGGAAGATTGCTCCCTTCAGCCTGTGAGGAGATGGCGACCCCTGAGCAGAAAGCGTTTTGCGTTCTCCACTTCAATAAGAGTGAATCAGTAATAACTGCACAGTGACAGTGCAGTGAGCCACCAACAGCTCAGAGCATTCGTCGTTGGTTCCACAACACTGGATGATCTCCAAAATCGCATTGAAAGAGCCGTGAGTACAGTGACACCCGACATACTCAATCGAGTATGAGATAAATTTGACTATGGTGTTGATGTTGTCCGTACAGCAGGTTCATATTGAGCAATTGTAAAATTACATAATATACTTTATCTAAACCATTTACAATTTACTGCATTGTTCTGTAACGTTTTACAAGTGAAATAAATCATTTTGAAATCGGATGAATCTTTTTGAATCACCCTGTATTTTAAATTTAGCAAATAAACAGTAACTGTGAATTAGAATGTGCAGTTCTCTATAGTGGCTGTGTGCTTATTTTCAAAGCATGTCATTTGACCAGTAGCAACCAAATTCTTGCCTAAGACTGTATTGGAATCCAGCACTTTTTATAAATTGGTCAGTTATAAACAGGACCATCAGTTTTATTACATGGAAAATGTTTCATGCTACAAGCACACAATAATTAAAAAATAACTACATTTTAAAGTTATTCATGCCTACTGAAAACATGTATAATCTAATCTTTGTTCTTGGTCACCCATACACACTTAGACCTTGAATTCAAGGTCTTTTTGATAAACAAATGGATATTATTATGAAAATAACATGTTCATGGCTTTCCTGGGGTCATATCACTTGATTTGGTAAACTGAACCAGCTTAGCTGCCAGGAAGGTCTTCTTTACGATGCAATACAACGTCTTTCCTAAAAGCATGTCAGAATAAAAGTCCTTTGTTTATGTTTGTGTTTTGTGACATCAGAATCTACAGACAAAAGTTTTACAATGACTTCAGTACTTTCAAAGCTGCCCTATTTCACGATACATTTTTTTTTTGAGGTTTCAAACAGAATAATATCAAACTGTTTTATTTAGAACTTAAATAGTGCACTTAATCTGAAAACATGGTTAGGTGGTCAAACCACCTGACATTTTTAGACTTTCTACAGCATTTTTACAGCATTATAGACTTTTTACTCTAATGCTGCCTATGATACAGCAAAAGTACTGACTGAAAGTGTATGTTTCTGCAGATGTATAGTATTCAGTGAGTACCCTAGTCAATTTTTCCCCAGTCCTCATCTCCTGCATTTTTCATAACCAACTTTTTTTTGTTTTGTTTTGTTTAAGCCCATGCCTACAGCTACAAATAACAAGACAAATAACAAGTTTTAGCCTTTCAAGCAACTAATGCTGGTTTGTTTAGGCAACTGGTGAATAAGCAGTGTCATTATCTGAATCAGTTTATTTAAAGCAATGTTGCAGCCCCCAGATTTAAAAAAATGAACATCATTATTTTTTACAAAAAGCTGAAAAATGTTCTTTTCCGCAAAGTGTCTTTTTGCTCTTTCAAGAGTTTTCAAGGTCTAAAGAAAATGTGGTACACAGTCAGATGCTTATTGTGACACACAAAACGGGTGACATATCACACAGAGCATGAGTGTACTTCTATGACTCATTTTGTCCTTAATCGCAGACTTATGTTTGTGTCGTTGTGTGTGCATACGCGTGTGTGTGTACCTGTCTGTGTCATCGTTATCCTGCATGTTGAACAGCATGGAGGGAATGAGCTTGTCCATGTGTTGAGGTTCCCAGATGATGGCCTGCAGTTCATCATTCACAGTTTTTCTCACCACTCCCTGCAAGCCTTTAATACCAGCTATACGGATCCTGCACGCCCACACACAAACCAACACAAATACAGACGCCCACGGAAACAAACACACACTTACTTAAGTTTACAATAAAAGGCAACACAATAGAGCTAAAATATTTGTCTGAGACCGATTAGCCTCAGGTGTAGAAATCAATTCTACAATAACTGGATAAGGTTCAGTGTTTCACATTTGGCTTTCTTATAGCCCATCTCTTTGGGCTATTAAGACCTACACTGACACAGTTCCTTTTGAATACTTTTGTGTTTTGCACTTTATTTTTATTTGTTTTGGACAGAACCATAAAGTATTTTATATCCCCAGATTCAGCACAACCTCAGCTAATAAAGTCATTCAATAAATATTTCTACACACTATAAACAAGCTTAATTTTTTTTGCAGTTTTAGAGGTTTTTACTGTTACACCATGATCATCAAAAGAAAATTGTACAACAAAAACCTGCACAAAACCCTTTGAACTTAAACACAAGTTATCTGAAGTTCTTACTTATTTTTGTTCATAAGTTATGCTCTCTTTACTGGGCACGTGTCCCTGTGCCTTTTGTGTGGAGCACTGCTTGTATAAGAAAGTTCTTTTGGCATTTTCAAAAGAACACTTTGCAGACCTCCACACAAGAAAGGAGTTTTTCATATTTATTTTTTACACAGTCTGTTTCATCTGCATCATGATGCCAATATCACTCACATCTTCTAATTAACATGATTCAGAATCTGAAGAGTCGTCACACTGTGTGTTGTTTCGTGCTGCGACAGCAGTTCTAGAGCCTCGCCTACAGAAAACATCCTCTTAGCCATATTTTTTGTTTTTCTGTTTTTGTTTTATCATCTTGTATTTCTTTTTCTTCTGTCTTAAAGTTGGCAAAAAACACTCCCACCATGACTTTCCCTAATTCAGAAACTCTGATGGGCAGACACAGCCTGACAAAAGCCATTTTGGACACCTGCTTTTTGGCGCTGTGAAAATTTCTGCAACATCAAGAAACTTACGACTCCAGGTTCTTTATAGTGGTAGTGAAAACCTACATACAAATTGGTTATTTGGACCATTTGTAAATGTTACTAGCTAAATCAGCATGCTTTTGCCCAGTCCTAGCAGCTGCTCAATGAATTTGTAGTAATGTACTCATCTCAAGCACTGTATTCATAAGCTACTACTGTTACATTGTTTATTGATGACTGACTGCTCTAACTGTCACTACATGCTAAATTAACAAGCGCTATCATTTACATATGTAGAGTCTTATTGGGTCTTTGCTTGGAGACCAAACAATGCATTAACCTGTTTATCCAGCTTTTAGTATTTCTTAGTAAAGGAATAAATTGATGAATAAATTAATTAAAAAGGTATTTAAACTTAATTAACAATTAACAACTGAGAGCTGACAAATTAGGATATTTTTATTTATCTAAAATCTGCTGATCTCTATGCTACAAGGAAATGCTGCTATTAGCATTGTGTCTGCAGTTGGTTACTGTGGGGCATGGTTCATGTTTAGACAGAATCTGTTTGCCTATATAGTTTGGTTCAAATTGTCACGCCTGGTTACAGCTGTATCACAACTTTAAATAGCCCAATCCAGTACTACTAGTTTACTTTTACTAGTTTCTACTGTTTTTTTTTCCCCTATGGTCCTGTAAGATTGCTACTTACAAAGTGAATTCTATTAAGCACAACTTTTATAAGCACAAACCTGGTGCGTGTCTCTGGGTCTTCATGTGTAGAGTGGCACATTGCACTGAACTGCGAGACGAAAAAGTCGTAACGGCGATGATATGAGGGCGTATCCTCCTCAATGTTTGCAAACTTCACAAACTGTACAAGAAAAAAAACAATATATGCACATTTTAACTCCACTTTCAGATGGGAAAAGAAACGTTTTGCTAAATTATATCATTACATTCAAAAACACACATAAGCATGGTACAATACTGTTTATCAACTGAGAATGAAAAGCTATATATATATATATATATATATCATATTTTTGGATTATCAGTTATTTTGTTTTCTACTTCATATTGTATAACATTTTACATTAAAAAGTCAAACCATGCTTTACTTACATTTTAGTGACCCCTTTATTTTAAATACATACAATTACAAAAATATATAAAAAATTGTTTTCCATTGCAAGGGCTCAACTGTTACAGGTAAATTGGCCTTAGCAATACTGATATCAAAGAAGGCTACAAATGATCCATCTAACCAACTACTGTACTTACTTACTGTGAGCATTCTTACTAATCAGTTTCAGAGTTTCTGTTGATAGGTGTGTCAGCATCATGAAGTTTTAGCTGATGATTGAATGCCATATAATTAGTTGCGATTAACAGTTTGTCTTTTGTGTTCACTGTATGCAACTATTGTCTATACAAGGTTGAAGTGATGAATTTGTCTTATTATCTTGCTTCCTATCTGTCAATACTTAATATCTCCTAACTGATGAGACAGTTTGAGCTCAAATAAACAAACATTACTCACCACTAAAGGCGTTTCAGCACCAGACATTAGAACATTTGTTGTTTTCTTAACACCCATGATGCGTCTCAACGAATGCATTCCTGCTTACTTTTATTTACATGCATTTGCCTCAGCAAAACAAAATGCACCTAATTTGCATTGTTTGTTGTGACATAACCATATGACTGCTACTGAGGAAAATAATTACCAAAAAGTATGAGGACACCCCTCCTAATGAAGCAGCAGATCACAGAACAGGGCTGTTGAATGCTGAAATCTGCAGCATGTAAAAATCACCTATCCTTTGTTGCATTACTCACTACAGAGTTCAATGGAACTGTGCATGGGGAGCTTGGTGAAATGGGTTTACATGCTGGACAGCTGTACACAAACCTAAGATGACTATGTGTAATGCCAAGCATCAGCTGGAGAGGTGTAAAGCACACCACCACTGGACTCTGGAGTGATGAATTAATTCTGCCCATATTGTGCTACCCTAACACACACAGATGCACACATACATGCACACACTTGCAAACACAGTGGGAGAGTGTGAAAAGTGAACTCATTATTAAGTTCTCTCACTGAAAGAGGAAGTTATCTATATCAGCCGGAGATGGGAGATATGCCACTACAGGTAGCTGTGTGATTCACAACTATGTGCGAAACTGAGTGAGTATGTGTTCCTAAGCAGGGGTGGAGTGGACAATATCACCATATGTTATTGCAATGAATAACATCAATATGCTTTTCTGAGTGTATAGTGGGAATAGTCAGTGCTTCTAGAACACTAAACATGTATCATAACAATTATAAGCCAATTATAGAGAGTGTGTGCAATATCTGAAAGCTGTGAATCAGGCAACACGCTTGAGTTTATGTTCAGAAACATAAAAAACTTTGTTCTTGGTTTGGTTTGGCAGTTGGTATGTCTTGGTATATCCATGATATGATACAGCTATTGTTATTCTGTTTTGTGCACTTTACTCTTGGTATTGAGGACTTGGACCGTGTGTCATTTACTGGGTGCTCTCTTGTTTTTCTTTTAACAGAGTAGCAACACTAAGGAGGCACTCACTTTGAGGATTCATTACCATTATATATTCGGAAAATACTGTGATACTGAATTTCATCAATATTGCCCAGCACTACTTACAGGTTTTCAACTTGTTTGCAAGGCTCAGAAAAACTGAATCGTCATAGATATTATGTATCATGGAAATGTCTTTAAGTTTTGTAATTCTGGCAGATCATTCACCCTGTTCTCAAGCTGTAGAGTGGACAATCTGTGCAGAGGTAAATCTCTACATTGTGGCCTTCTCAGCCCTCAGCTCAAACTGCTCCAGCTAACAACACTGCTTTGTTTCATTCCTAGTTCATTGGTGTCAGCCCAGAGAAAAAGTCTTCTCTATCTTTCTTTGTTCTCCTATGCCTCAGTGTCTGCTTATGTCTCTCTTCCTCACTATCTCTCTCTTTGCCTCTTCTTACTTTGTATCGTATTCATTCACTCCGTCTCTCTTTCTCTCTGAAAGGCTACATTGTCTGTAGTGTGCAGTGTATGTGAAAGGGTTGCACCTCAGTGGGACAGCAGATAAACTGTGTGGGACTAAAACAAACCACAACACACTGTACAGCTACTCTAAACATCTGCACTGCCAAACCTCTGCTCGTGCTTTTCTGGACTATAAAAGTGTTGCAGAACGTATTGAACTTATGTTTTTACTAACTGTCCCTGGGCAGGGACAGTTAGTTATTGGATTTATTTAACATTTGAGGTTTATACTGATCAAAAAGAAGACTTGAACAAACACATGGGCATTCAGACAATGGCAAGCGGTTTTCATTTTTTACAATTATTTCATTTTTGTATCAAGCATTGTGATACTACACTTGATATGCCAGTACTTAAGTCAAAATTATGGTATCATGTCAACCCAAGACTTAACCTACAGAGCTATAGGTACTGTATTCTCTATATTGTTGCTGTTGGGTTACAAAGCTCTATTTTTCTTGATTTTTTGTTTTTTTTTCATAATTTGAAAACTCTAGCTCTTCTTTACCTTGTGTGAAAGCTTGATGATGAATGGGCCAGAAGAAAAAGTCTAAAAATAAAATTGTTACATTAATTTACATTTAAATTTAAGAAAGTTTTTTTCCTTCTACTGTAAAGTTATCATATTGGTGATACAAATTTTTGGTCCAACAGCAACTATATATTGTTAAACCTGTACATACTGAAAGAGTGACTTTGACTATACTTACAATATTACTCAATCTGTACATACTGACAATCTGTGTATAGTGTATTTTGTACCTTTAATCTCCCTGTACTATTTTTATGTTATTCTTTTTTACTCTCCTACTTTATTACTGTTTTGTCTCTTTCTCTCTCCTCTTATCACTTTACTTAATTTATTACTTGTTACTATGTCTGTCCTAATGGCAGCAACTGCCAAGACAAATTCCTTGTAAATGATATCTTGCTTGGCTAGTAAGACCATCCATCGTATTCTGACTCAGTGAGCACCTCCTCTTGGTTCACTAATAGAGCAGAAATTTCAATCAGGGATTTGGACAGCCGTTTCTGTTTGTAAAATCATTAATAATTTATGGTATTCATTTATCATGTATACTATGTTTGCCTTGACTCAGATTTCTCCTTCTAAATATATCATATTCCAAATACCACTAAGAGCCAAAACATTAGTTTTGATTCTGCTGCTTCCAAAAAAAATCTATCGCAACATTCCTTCATTCAGATTTCTTTATGAATTTTAGAAGCCTTTCTTTCACGTTTTAAAACTAGCTCACCCAAAATATCTGCCTTCTTTCTTGAAATCTTGATCTAATTTTGATATCAAAAGGCTGTTGTGTTGTGTTTATTGTGATCAAAAGAAGTCTGGTAAAACAAATGTGAAAATTAAATGCATGCTGTTACTAAGTGGGTGTTGGTTGATGCAATTCTGACCAGAATAATGGGAGAGAAGAGAGAGAGAGAGAGAGAGAGAGAGAGAGAGAGAGAGAGAGAGAGAGAGAAAGGGAGAGAGAGAGAGTTTAAGAGAGACAGATGGAAAGATTAGGCTCAAAAAAGAAATACTGAAAAACATACTTTCCTGACAGAGTCAGAATGCTGACAGCAAAACTTTTCAAGCAAATTTCACACCTTCCACCCACCTTTTTGCCAATTCTATTAGCCCTCCCTTTCTCTCCTCTCCTCTTCTGCTGTCTCTCTGGACTCCTTTCCCGTTCCCTACCCTCTCCCTCCCTCGTTCACTCATCACTTTCTCTCTCTCTCTCTCTCCAACCAACCTTCCAACCTCTGTTAAATTATGCAGCATGTCTCCCGTCCAGAGGCACCACTTGAGATCCCTCTAAACTAACTCTGACAAAGAACATACTCGCTGAAGGTTAAAGGCATTAGCCCAGCATGCTGGGTTTCTGTCTCGCTCTCACTGCTCAGACTGCTGTGTTTCTGACTGTCTCTCGCCCTCTCTCTGTCTCTGCTGTCTGTCTCTGTCTCCCTGCTCACCTGCTTTTCCAAAACTTCTGCCTCTCTTCCAGCACTTGTAGCTAGAACAAGATCTCAAAGTAAATAAGCCATGTAGGAAAGTGTAAGGAGAAGAAAGGCGCAAACTCTCATTTTCTGCGACAGCAATAACTCAATAAAACATGTTTTGTGCTCTATTTGAGCCAGACACTAAAAACTATTTATGTGGTTGTTGTTAGAGTTTACCTGAAATGTCAAATATGTTTTTCAAACATTAATGTGGCTTTCAGTTTCAGGTTTATAGCTTTCTCTCTCTTCCAGGAGAGAGGAGTCTGATCTTGTCTGATTGGAAATAACTGCCTGGGGTTGTTGCCAAGATGGCCCACCAAGTGAACAGATTTTCCTATAAGGACTTTGGCACTGTACAGTACAGTGGTTATGACAGGACAACTCCAGCATTCAAGAGGCCAAAGCACCCATCAGAGAAAATCAAGCAAACAGCCCAAGCAAATAAAGTTTACATGTTTTAGTTCATTTTCAAATCTTTAAAAGGCTATGCTATATATATTTATAGTTTGGCCATTTTAAAAGGTTTTGATTACTTCATTAATCGTCAAAAGAATAACTTGTAAAATCACTGGTAGACAAAAGTGACGGCCCTTATAAAGATTAAGGCCTCTCAGCAGAAATGCCTGTGCAATAGAATGAAAAGTGTTTTATGACTGTATAATGTGTGTTTGTGTTTACGTCCGTGTGAGTATGAGTGTGTAAAAGTCAATGAGGACACTCAGTAGAAATGCCTCCATAATCCATAGCATAAACTGAACCCCTGTCTGAAAGATCAGTGCATAAGCATTCTGTGTGGAGAGTAATGAGATACAATTACACATACTTGGGCTGCCAAAATGAAATTCACCATTCTAATATTAATCAAATCAAAAATGCACATTTGAATGTAGAAAATGTCCATTCCAATGTTTAAAGGGAAGAACATACCATTGCTGACGATGAACAAAACAACAACAATGTATATTGCCTTCAATTTGAGATTTTGTATTCATTGTTTGGGAATATTTGCAAACATCAGGCAGCTTTTTAACAATCCAAAATAAAGCAATATGTCTGCTTTACAGGCATGAATAACAGTAAAGGGCATGAAGACATTCTCATATGAGGTAATTAAATAACCAACTTTAGACAGCAGATGTCTTCTGACAAGCTAATGCTCCATATGTGGATGCTTAGTAGCACAGAAAGCTAATAATTTTGTAAAATGTATAAGGCAGTAAAGTGCTAGTTTAGCTGCATGGCTAAGCAGCACCACAGCTGCAGCCAACCACACACTCAATACTGAGAATTAGGGGATACTTGATCATTTATGTTGAGCACTTTGTAGATTTAGCAGACATAATGTTGACTTAGAAATCTGGCATTTTGTTATGTATCCTACTTGTTTTCTTTGCAAAATAATAATAACAACTTACAGAATTGGTGCCCAGCACTTGCAGATCTGGTTCCTTGGACTCCAGAAGCTTGGCAACCATGTGAAGGAAACTTTCCACAAATGGTTTAATACTCTGAGAGTGACAGGCCATCAGCAACTGATCCAGCGCTTCCATCGCAATCACCACATACCTATACATGTGTGCACACACACGTTCAGTCATACTGCTTCAAGTACATGATAACTAAACATCAGTACTGGCAGACTGTGTGTGTATCGCACCCGTAGCGGTGTCGGACCACATCTCTGCTGAGGCGCTCTGCGAGGTATTCTCCAATCCGGTCCAGCTTCTCTGGAGCAGATACAGCAAAAAATGTCAACTTCTCCATATCAGACTTCACCAATCCATCCTACGGAGAGAGAGAGAGAGAGAGAGAGAGAGGGAGAAAGTGAGAAAGTTTAGCTGTGGGAATCCCACTGGGCTCATATCATTACTAATCATGAAAGTCAGCAAGAGCAGCTTTAACCCATAATCCCCCTGGAGCGCTCCCCACCTACAGCTCTCAAACTGATAATTTACTTAATGAGCTTCTGACCAGCACAACACATCACTGCCCTAAGCAACACCAGCAGTGTAAGTACTGTGACATTCGTGTCACAACGTCATCATATCACTCACATTAAAAAGAACCCTCAAGAAGCCTCAGTCTGTGTGTGTGTGCTGAGCAGGAATACGTGTATGTTTCTCCATCACTGTAGGGGTGCCGTAAATGGGTAGAGGGAGCAGGGGTTGAGATATTGAAATTATTCCAAGGGTCCCAGCGAGAGGCACAAACTTGGTTGAACTTGGTTGTTGGTGAACTTGGTTGTTTTTTTGTTTCTTTTGTTTTTGCAAGAATTTGCATGAATCGCCACCATGTTTCTTCAAGAAGACTAGCATATCAATTCATGTTGAACACTGTGTGCCACTTTTGCCAGGTTTTGTGTTATTAGGTTAAATTTCCTGACTTGAAACTTGGACAACATGAAATAATGTAGAAATAATAGTGACTATAATGAATAATGAATATAATGTATATAATGAATAATGTAATCAGAATTGCACCTCTTGCGATAAGAATATTGCATAAATCTGACATAAAATTGTTCAGTCCTACCATTTCAACCATTCAACAATACACACAAACCCAAATATGCATATATTAAGGTCGATTTTGCTAATTATTTTAATAATATTAACTGAACAGCAAACATGGATATGCAATTTGAGACCACAATCCGTGCATGGTCTTTTCAGTGTGTGTGTGTTTGTTATCTGTTGTACCATCCTTCACCTCTTTGTCATTGGTCAGTTTCTGACCACAGGATCAGAGTCACCTGGATAGTTTTGGTTGATAGACCATTGTGAAGATGTTTAATATAAGCAATAACTCTTTTCAGCTCAGTCTTTAGGCATAATCCTAAAATTTAACACTCCTAATAGAAAAAAAAACAAAGACTTTTTCAGACATTTTATGAGCTTACATTTTTAAAATATATTTTAAGACTTTGTAACACTTCAGTTTGAGTACAATATTCCCCGTAATAGAAAGGAAGCTTGCTAAATGCTATAGCATTCAAAGTTTTCAAATGGAAATGCTGTCAAAAACAAAACTCCATGTTCTACCAATTTTTAGTGTTTTTGAGTTTTTCTCTAATAAAGCAGTAGTGCAACATAACCTGCTTTGCTGTGTTAAGATGTCATGTTCTCTTGACCACTGTAGGTGAAGAAGAAAGTGGTCCAGTGTTCACTATCTATTTCAATGTATGGTGGTCAATGTATCTGTGGTCAATGGTGGTCAATGGTGGTCAATGTATCTGTCATATCACTATTGTCTGAACAAACCACGTAGTTGTTTTTCAGTTTTTGACATCATTTGAAAATGCCCGTTGCCCTTTACACTGGGTGTAATTTTAATGATGAATGGACCAACAAAAATGGGCCAAGCTTACAAAATTCTAGTCCATTGGCTTGATACATCTAAAGTATGTTTTTCGTCCTCCTATAACATTATCATTTTGGAGATACGAGGTTCTGTTTCAACAGCAGCGATATATTAGTCAAAAAATATATATATAGAAAAATATATATATAGAATTTTGCTTCTACTGCCAAAATGCAATTTTAGCCAGCTGAATACAGCATTATAGATATGCAGTCATGTTGCTTATATTCACATTCATGGCTGACACGGCATATTCATGGCTTGCTACATGCCAGAGACTCCAGCAAGAGATGGGATTATGGAGCTATAACAAAATAAAGAGTTCTGAAAATTTGGCATGTTTTAATGTTGTGACAGGTTCTGCTACGAGAAACGAGGGGAGGCAGGGGGCTCATAATTTTCTAAATTTCTACCAGCAAAGTGTGTCTATTTTAACAGCTTTGAAAGAGGGAGAGCGAGTATGTGTGTGCATGTGTGCATTTGTGTATTTGTTTGCTAACAAGGTGTCCTACCTTCGGGTCCTCAGGGAAGATGTTATCCACCAAGCGTTTATAACGGGGCCGACAACGCCCACAGCATCCACACACACCTGCAGAGAGAGACGTCTTTTAATGTGCATTTCAGTACACACACACACACACACACAGCCCTAACAGCAGGGATGTTATGAATGGTCATGCAGCTGGAGGCTTGAAGTCACGCTTTTCTTCCCAAATCCAGATGATTTAGTGTAACGGAAATTTCACCAGACCACCAGAAAAAAGAGTAAAAAAAAAAACGACAAAGGGAAATAACAGTGCTGTCGTACAGACCAGAGGTGTGTATGATTTATCAAACACTTGATTAACCACTCCCCATGTCAGCATTCAGACACTGAAAGTATTCAAGTATTCATTATGCTATTCAGCGTAATCCGATTATGTTCTAAGATGGCTGTAAAGTGCTCATATTTGTGATTTTGCTACTACAAAACAGTAACAGAAGCCACAACACAAGCTCACACTGCCAAACACACATCGTTAAAGAGGAATTCTGTATAATTAAATCTCTGAGGTATAAACAAAGTCATAAAGACTGGTTTGAAGCAAAATACTGCAGAGAAGCTTACTATATGTTGCAGTTTTAAGGACGTGATTTTTCACATCAAATACATGCTGGACACAACGTTTTTTTATTTCACCAGAATATGTATATATTATATAGATATCATTCGCCTCTCATAAACAGACAAACTGACATTGTGCAGGCCTCATTTAGGAGCTAAAACATTCTGAGTGCTTGTTCAGATAGTTGGGATCTCTGTAACTTAAATCAGTGTGGAGATGCAGCTCCACACCAGATAAACCACAAAACAAACTGGTGGAACGTCGAAGTGCACAAAATGAGTAACTGTGACACTGGACAGGCTACTTTCCATTCTGCAAAAGTAAAAGCAGAATAGAGAGCTTTATTCCTTCATTCAGAAGCTGCACTCTGAGTGCCTCCACACATAGCTCAGACGTCCATAGCCCAGTTTGAGCCCAATTTGAGCTGGTTTTAGAAATTCTAATTCTTTTTGTGAAAAATTTCCAGTTGCTGGGACACATCCGATCTGTCAGGTTAGTTGTCGTCATGCCGACGTCAGAGATAACTGTGACAGGTCAAAGAGTTCATGTCACCAGCGAAAGTTTGTAAAATTGAACAGAGGTTGAGTAATCAATGTTGCATTCTCACTGCCTGAAAACGTTTTTTTGTGCAAGATAGCATCAGTTATACATGTGCTCAAATTACTTTAGTCATCCAAACAAATCAGACAAATAAACTGCTGTGTAAATCTGCATGTAAAGGCCTTTACTCTTTCAGTGAAGAGCCCTGACGTAGGCGTAGTATTCCATTTCTCACAACTAACTGAAACCTCGTTAGATGAAGGCCAGTACTCAAAGCCAGTTGCATATCTAGGACCTCTAGAAGCCCTGGAGTGTAATTTTTTCTCACTAAATTGGTCCAATCCTTTGGAATTTGAAATGTGATTGGTTGATTCCACTGTCAGTGCCTAATCACGTAGGTGTTGAATCAGACACCTGAGGCCTTGGTTAAGCTCCTCAAGTCCTAATCAAAGGGGGAAGCTTGTTTGGCTGTATCTACCTAGAAACAACAAAAATCCCTGATTGGATAATTTTCTGTTGAACATTTCAAGATCTTAACCATTTGTTTCCAATCAAAACCCAGCAATGAAATAATGGTATTACTATCAAAATTAGTCTGAATGCACATTCCTAATGCAGACTCATCGACACACTTCTGGCCTCACGCAAGTTTCCATACAAACTTTGTGAAAAGGCAGTAACATATGTTAAACACAAACACACACACATAACCATGACCTGCTCTACAGGCCTCAAGGTAAACTTCACACAAGACTGGATTTTCTGGTCCATAAAGCGAGCTCTGTGCATTAGCATATCCTGCATCCTGCACCCAACAGCATCAATGCCACCCCCGACAATGCAGGGTGGGATGTCATGTGGAACATATGGATACGTATGTTAAATAGGAGTAGGCATACTAAACTGAAATATGCATATTCAACAGCAGAGTCTTAAAACACAGTAAATAATTCAGCTGCTAAAGCTTGAGTGGAGTGGAGGAGTGTGCGGGTGTACAAGAGCGTGTTGAGGAGAGAGGAAGAGAGAGGAAACTAACAATGTATTTTGTACTGTTTATGCATATGCTGTATAACAACACCAGAAGGGCTTTTTGCAGCTACTGCCTTTTTAGGGTTGTAAGCACCTAATGCTATTGTTTCTGTTAGGGATTTTTACCTGACATTAGCTGTATTACTCGTAATACAAATAGAATGTCAGCAAATTAGGAATTCAGCCTCAGATGGATTCCCCTGCATAAATAACCACCGTGCCTACACTGCAGCAGAAGCAGTTGACCTTGAGCAAGCCTCTGCAGCCATCTGGACAAGCAGCCAGACATATCACCAAGAGAGCAATCACACTCTCCATTGCCAGTAGTTACAGAGATGATTATGCGTTTATCGTGAGCATGTGCCTCCGTTTAAAGTGTGTGTGTGTGTGTGCATGCATGTGCGTAAGAACTGACAGTTCTCATTTCTGTGTGTGTGTGTGTGTGTGTGTGTGAGATGCTGTCTGAATGGCTGCTTAATAATTAAAAGATGGAAGAAATCTGAGTATCAGAGCAGCCACCAGACTCCTCTCATATTCAACACCTCTCTCTCTCTCTCTCTCTCTCTCTCTCTCGATAAGCCAGACTTGAACTCATTCATGCCCCTTCCACTGGGTGTGTGTGTGTGTGTGTGTGTGTGTGTGTGTGTGTGTTGAAAATGGGGGTATTGTAAAGTGAGAAGTGGAAATGGGGTTGACCATTATCAAACATTCGATACCCTTATTGAGAGAGAGAGAGATAAAGAGGGACAGGGAGGGGGAGAAAGAGACAGAGAGAGACGATGAAAGGATGTGCTATGCATTATTTATAATACTATTTTTAACATCTTATTTTGCTATCTTTTATATTTAACCCCTTAAACTACAAGGGCCCATGTTTTGGCCTAAACTACAAACTTGCACATTAGTCTCATAGTAGGAGAGCAGGGCACAAACGAACATGGGATAAAATGTAACAGATATTTTATGTAGTTACACAGGTTCAAGTGGAACATGCTTTTGGTTACCTTTTCATATTCCCACTACAATGTCATCTGTGAGAGTTTTGACAGCTATTATACAGATATTCCTCCTGAATCACCCTGAAGACCCTGACTTTTCTGCATCTTAAGTGTTTTTCGATTACTGTGCTGTGTGCAAGTCACAGAATTCACAATTATATTATTTTATTCATCTTCTTGGTGGCTGTAATACAGCACCATTTCCGAAGCATGTCTAGCAAGTCAGGGCAAAGTACATCCTCCACATGGTTTTAACACACTGTTACAACAAAACATCCCATAATAAACAATACGAGCAGTCCATCTCCCTTCATATGAATTCAAAACAATTTTTTGGAAGATTTTATGCACAGATCATAAAATAAAATATATGTAAATTTTAACTGCACTGTGCTCATATTTGCTTTTCTACTCTGTAGTCAAAAAGAAATTTGTCATGTTTGATACGCATGCCTTTTAATGATCATATTTGTGTAAATGCGGATGTTTATTCAGGATTAAAACAACATAAATTTGCATTGAATTAACTGTTTTGCATTGATTTAGCACACGTTTTAGCCACTGTTACAAGTAGCCCCTCAGCTATAATTAACCCCAGCTATGGTGTTAGTCGTAACATTTGCATGCCTGCCACAAAGGTGGTAACAAAGTTGATGTTTTCAACAATCTTGCTTAAATACTTATTTAGCAAAAATTATTTAGCAAAAAAACACAAAACTTGTTAGATTGTGCCACTCTTCCATAGCTACTGAAAAGTTATAGGAAATCCTAAATAATCAGTCTTAAGATAAATAAGAATGAAATAATAAACCTGCAGCATAAGCTATCACAAACCCAAGCAACTACTCGTGTGGTTATTTTTCCACAGTAAATAATCAAGTGATACAATAAATGGAAATAATTTGCATTTTTTCTGCTGCAGTCTAAGAGAAATCACAACAACAACATAATAACAAGTACAAACAGTGAGCCAGCAAACCCACACACACACGCGCACACACACACATACACACACTCACACACACACACTCGTATACCCAGTGTGCTAAGAACGGAGGTCCTCTGCCTGCTGCATCTGTATCTGAAGGTTCCGTCTGCCTCGGAGCGTGGCACCTGCCTGTACCTCCTCATCATGATCTTTGACCTCTGACCTTTCCCACAAAAACAAAGACGGCACACAGCGACCTTTCCCCTCTCCAAACACTGACCCTGCGAGAGCGCAGAGTAAGGCAGAGAGGCAAACTCAGGTTCACCCGAGAGAGAGGAGCACACCTGTATCGGCTCCACCTCCCTCCTTCTACCTCCAGCAGTGACTGACAGCTCAGTGCACCAATCACTCCACTGCTTCACCTGCCAACACCTGTAATCACAAACCAATCGGGCAGAAAGCTTTTTCCAGCTAGTACCATCTGTGTGTGTGTGTGTTGTGTGCATGTGTGTCTATGTACACCTGTGTTGGTTTACAGCTCACCTGGTGACGCAACGTCACGGATGTTCCAGCTGAACCTTACAAAAGCTTTTCAGGACACTGAAACGTGAGTCCCTGAGTTTATTTAATATTAATGGTTGTATGAAAAAGTTTAAACACCCCCTGTTCAAATAATGTGTGACAATAAAGACATATTCAGGGAACAAACATCAATGTGACATATTTCTGCAAATTTTAGCGCACTATGTCAATCTTTAACATACTGGGCAAAAGAAAAAAAAAACATAAAATGTGCCATAACTTTTGCACACATGACATATTACATGTTCTGCTGATTTTCCTGCATGGAATAAGCTTAAATATAATAATTTTTCCTGCTAATTTTTGCACAGGCCACATTTTATGCTGTATTGCCCCCCCCCCGCCCAAAATGTTAAATTAAGCAAATAAACAGTGATTGTGCAGCAAAATATGCAGAAGTGTGACC